GTAGGGAAAAAGCTTTTTCCAGAGTCATGGCTGATTGTGTGACATCATTATAAGTGCTTCTGGAAACAGAGTTTACTGGAAGTGTGGTATTTTAGAAGGCAGCCTCTATGAGATGATAGGAACTTCCTAATGCTGCAGGGCAGTAGCAAGGCTAGGCTCCATACTCTTTTATATAAGTTTCTGTGAATAATAAAGTGTTATTTCCAAACCACAAGCTTCATCAAGATACTACAGACTGCATGCAGCAGCTCAATCACACTCAGTTAGCTCAGTGACTGTCTTCGACCAAAAGCTCAGGGTGTAGAAATTGGAATCTGGATAATCTTCCATAAATATGGACTCTAATCAGAATCTGTGGAGGACCTAAACCTCTTACACTTTACAAATCTTCCACCTCACTAACAAGCTTCCCTTGCCTCAAAAGGAGACTCTCTCAGCTGTGAGCTGAGTATAGCAGCTATATTCTACCTTTACCATGTTAAATAGAAGGTGGCAGTCTCCTATGTCTCCTTCAGCATCTCCTGGCATCTGTAGACATCTCTTTTTTTATTTTTGTTTTTGTTTTCCTTATCCTTCTGGCAGGGGAAAGCTCAAAGAGAAGCTTAGCTGAGACTTAGCCTTACTCTTTACACTGCAGTAAATGTTTTCAGCAATCAACAGGGAAGAATTAATCCTCTACAGTTCTCTAATGACCTATGAAGTGACACAGTAGTTGTGCTGTGCCCTTGAGACACCCCTTTTATATCCAAGCGTGCTCTCTATTTCAGAATTTGTGAAAGGATCTTTGGAAGATAGCCTTCAATGTCTGATGAAGGGTTTGTGTGCCCGAAAGCTTGCAATTAAAGAAATTTTTTTTGCAAAAATCTAGCTGATCTAATAAAAGATACCACTCTACCATGAGTTCTTCTTGAATTCCTGTGCTTGAAGGAATTTATCCCTGCACTCAATCCAGTCTTCAGAGCTCTTTAACACTATTTTTGATTCTTCACACAGAGGGGCTAGAGTGAGAATAGGGGTCAGACCTATAAATCAGCCCTGCAAGAAATACAGTAGCTAAACTTGGGCCCCAGCCACACGTTACACTTAAGACATAATTAACCAGTTAATCATGTCTTAATTTGTGACCCAGCAACACATTAAAGCCATTAATGGCATCATAAAACAAGCAATAAGCCATAGTTATTTCACAAAAATGTGTAATAATTTTTGTGCCTGGTTCCTGTCACATCATTAACTGAACATATAGGCAGGTGCCACCAATGCCACCCAGGTGCCACCCAAGCTGACTCTGGCTCCCACCCATGAGAGTGTATGCTGTGTCTGCACAGCTGGGGACTCTCAGCCATGGGAGCTTGCTACTTGCCAGTGCAGGGGGAGTCTAGGATCATGATCTCAGGCATGAACAGCGCATGCCCCTGGTGGCTGGGGGGGGCATAGCTGTGCCGGCAGCGGTGGGAGCCCGGCAGCGGGGAGCTCCTGCAGATGCCACCAGCACTGTCAGAAGCCGGGGAGGGGCAGGGGGCGAGCACCGACCACGGATCGGCGACCACCCACAGGCACTACTGGCAGCGTCGACAGTGGCCAGGGGCGATTAGGCACTGCTGGTGGTGGGGTGGCGAGTGGCAACTGCCGGAAGGCGCCACCGACAGAGGGGGTGTTTTGCAGGTGGTGCACCGCCATGCATAGGAGGTACACGTGTGCCTGCGTGCACCCCCTATGCATCACCCCTGATCCCAGGCACCCCTTGCACTTGGAATAAGATATGATAGGATCTAATGTTCGATACCACAATCACGCCTCCTGCCATGCCACACAATTGTATGGCTTGTGCATCAGATCCCATTGTGCTTCTATGTACATGTCTGGCAAGGGCCTTAAAAATATCACAGCTGCATAAATACTAACAGTATCCTAGTAATGATAGTTATTTTTGTAACAAATCTGAGAGCCAGTGATTCAATGCAAGACCTAGGCATTATTATCACTGTGCAGCTAATTATTAGTATCATACTGTGCACTGTTTAAATGCAAAGGCAAAATTGTGAAGTGCTCAGTGGTGCAGGGTTCCCTAGCAACATACAAATCTACTTCTCCATCTTAGAGAAAGCAATGCTATATTTTAGGTGGACATTAATCCAGGTCATTTTGCATATAATACTGATTTGCCCTCTTGGCAGTTATTTTCCAGGAATCAATCTGGTAAATGAAAAGGTATAGAAGTATTTAAGTGTTTGATGGTGCAGCAAAGGAAGTTGACTTGGAGATATTTGACGCACTAGGCTGAGAAACTCATCAAACTACACCAAAACTGCTGCATGAGCAAATAGAATATAGCACATATCACAGTAACTAGATAAGGAGAAATAAGAACTAAAAAAACAAGTTAGGGTTGTTTATTTTCATCTTTTTTTAAATTTCTTTTCTACACAGTATACACATGCACACACATATATATCCATCTATGCATATCACAGTAGATGTGCTATCTATACATACATTTAAAAAACATGTCAGAAAAATGCAGTAGTTAAATGATTTCCTTATGAATAAATGTTAATAAGATCCTGTAACCACATCACAAGCTGAGATTTACAGCTTCCCCTGAACTACCTTCATGCCAAACACTGCAACTGCTGCCACCTCCTTCCAGAATCTGCAGTGCTATGTTCTTCATCCAAAAGATGTTGCAGGAAAGGTCTGTAATAGTGTGGTGTGACTGTTTTCTGAAGTGTCTGAAGTAAAGCACTCCTTCCCTGGCTTAATATGGGTATTATAGAGCCTCTTTAAATACTCCAGGCTTTTAACACAGTATAACAGCCAGTATGTGGGGAGGGATAGTACTCTTAATTTTTTTTAACTTGGCTTTGCTGAATAATAAACTTATCCTAATGTTGACTCTTTCACTTCCCCAGCCAGTGTCTTAATTGTAAACAGTTTTGTGACTGACAAACATTACAAAATTACCAACAATAAAAAAAAAAAATGCATCTCAGATTAGAACAATTAATGGTGGTTTTGTTCACAAGTAGTTTTTCTTTTTTGCTCCCTTTTCTCAGGCTGGAACCCCAACCAGCTTCTTTGTTATACCTCTTTTGCCAAACTGTTAGCAGCACCGTGTGAGCCTCAGTTGTATGTTCAGCCTGACTCCCTTGCGAGTGTTTTCAAAATGTGCTTGAATTTCTAAATCCCTTCCACTCATTTTTCAAAATACTGCATCAATTTAACAATGCCGTTTCACAGCTGCATATAATAACACTGAATATTTGCTATTTAATCTTCCTTAATACTTCACCAGAAACAGCTTTTCCTTGATGAAACATCAAATGTGAATGAAATGAAAAATGAAAACATATTTGACATTGCAGTTGCCATAGAGCTACTAAGCTCAGAACTAAAATTTTGTCTGAAGACAAATACATACCAAAGTTGTAAATTTTAGGAGCTTAGGTAGGGAAGAGAATTTTCACAACAGTAACTGTTCAATTCACTCTTTAATCCACACACACACTTTTTTCTGTCATTTATTCCTAGTTCAGTGGAGATGGTAAATGGATGGGTAAGCCCAGAGTTATTTCTGTGCAGTAAGAAAATACATTCCTCATGCCCCACCCCTGCATGGGCTGTCTAACATGAAATAAAAGTACAGGTTTCCCTCACCAACCACAGTTTTGAGTATCTAAGCTTCAGAGAAGGAGGAGGTACAGTCTGAAAAACCCCCCACAGTCCTCCTGGCCCGGCTCGTGCCTCTCTCACTCCCTCCCCCACAACCACGGGAACTTTCAGGAACCTAACCCCCGTGGCTGGCCTGCGAAACCTGTACAAACAAAGTACCATTGTCACTGTACTTTTTAACAGTACAGAATATGTGCTGTTGCTAATGCAGGAACCAAATATTAGCATGAAAGAGAAGTTTGTGTTGGGTGATGTTTGTGCATGTAACCTATTGTTTTGTATTTGAAAAGAGTCTGGGCCTGAATGACTACTCTTAAAAAAAAAAAAAAAAAATCCTATTCAGAGGGTAGTGCTTCCATTTTGAGCTGTCTTCAAAGGACCTTCTTTTCAGAAAGATCTAAGCAACCTAAGTGGTATAATTAATGGTATTTCAAGTTGGATAAAGTTGTTAGCTGCTTTTTAAAACCTTGGTCTAGATTATTTACACGTGATATGTAAGCAAATGCCCATTCTAGAGTGTTGAGTTTTTTATAATTTATCATTACCAGCTACCACATTGGCTTAGCTCCTTTTCTTTTTGATGCTGCTTTCTCTTAAATTAGCTTTCCTTTCTGAGTACAGGTACTTGATGATAAAGTATGTACCTAAATCAAAACAGAAAATGGTGTAAGCACAGAGATGTAGTCCAGAGTCCCAGCATTCACCTAGAAACAACAGTGGTGGATTGGAACTTGCTAAACTGAATGGAATGAGACCCAAATGGTTCTTTGGGCCTCATCCCACTGAACTCAGAGAAGCAAAGCTTTACAGCTATGAAGCTATGAAGCTTTACACCTTGGGTGCCTTGAGATCCTTCTAGGAGTGCTACACATTGTTGGTACTGGTAGGTATGCAAACATGATTCACAATATAAATCCTGAGTTTTCAAATGGGAATCCCTAGTGTTAAACATATTCTGATTTGTTCTGAGTTCTTTGCAGCAGAATAGCTCTATTATTTTTTTTAGTGAGAAAAGAGCAACAATTACAAGCTGGCATTTTCCAAGGGTGTCTACTGAGAGCTGCTTTGTCTATAAAGGTTGAGAGCCACTGCTTTACAGCATCAAGCTTTGTATTTCTTTTGCTAAGCATGCTGAATTTGTTTTATGAGTCTCAGTATCTGTCATCTTGGTATGTGTCCGGCCCTAACAGCTTGGGTTAATTGCCTAATTGACTACACCTGCCTGGGGGTTCTGGCTGTCTGGGTCTCCTAATTGACTGCTGGGAAGAACAGCCTCCCCATTTAGTTCTACCTATAGTCGT